TCAATATTCAGCTTCTTTCTTGCCCCTAATTTTTTTTTTTTTTTTTTTTGGACAGGGCAGCCTTAACTTTAATTAGATTCTTTTTAATTAAAATTTTTTGCAGTAGAAAGCACATCCTGCAAGGGGAGCAGCTCCCCAGGTGTTTTGTATCCCATGACCTACAAGTGGGAGTAAAATTTGTAGTCTTGGTGGCTTAAGGTGCTGATAGAAGTGGGGCGAAGGACCAACAGGAGGCAAGGATAAGGATCATACAGGGAACAATTCAGAAGGGCTTCAACGTCACCCAGCTTAAGTCTGTTTCACAACTGCTGGCCAATCAGATCTAGCCCATATATTTAATTTTGCCACTTCAACAGAACTTAGGGCAGAACATGGGCCTAGTTTGTAGCAAGTACCAACACGGCAGCTACTTAAACACCAGAAGATTGTCAAACAGTTCCCCTAGCCTTCTCACTCTGCTCAACAGAGGCCCAGGCTTCACCCCTCAGAGCAGTTCATCGAGGAAGCTTCATTTCTGTTTCTTCTCCTGTGTGCTGGTGAACCAAGAGTCTAGGAGTTTTTTGCTGTAATACAACTGCCAGCCATGCACTTGGACTGCCAGTATCAACACCAGCTACATGACAAAGACAGCAGGGAAACCAAAGAGGAAGCGGTAGGCCTTGCCATGGCGGTAGAGTTACTGTGCAGCAGGGAACATCCCCATGCTGCCATAAACGAGAGAAGCAATGGAGAAGAGCCCCACGCTGATCATGGAGAGCACCAGGTAGCTAATGTTGTTGCGGGGGAAGGAGAGAAGGCCCAAGAGAGATGGCACAATGCTCAGCAGATATGGGTACTCCCATTCATAAGGTCTGGCCACCTGATCATGCAACAAGAGCCTCAGGTGTCCCACTATCATCTTGGCAACCAGCAGCAGCCATATGACCAGATACGCGTAGATCAGCTTCTTGATTTCATACTTGAGGGTCACACTCATCTGATAATACATGGCGATGCAGATACAGTGCTGAAAGTCGCTGCCATCGGTGCCAGACACTCACAGGCCTGCCCAAGAAGCCATCATGCCTGTCCAGACTCCGACAGGCTGCCACAACAGCACAGCCAAGTCCTCAGCCACCGCTGCTCAAGCTATCTCAGCTCCATCTTGTCCCTAAATTTTAAATTACTTCAATTATTTCTTTGTATTGGTCTTCTAAATCTTGTAATTGTCATATGAAATTTTTCATTTATTTTTTAAAAAATAATTTTAAATGGCTACCTTTTCAAAAACTATCAATAGTATAAAAAGTACATGAAGTAAAAACAATGAAATCTTAAATGTCTGTAAGTCAAGCACATTAAGAGTATACAAATCTCTTGTGGGTTATGGGCTTTTTAATCCGTGTTCTTTTTCAATCTGCATAACCCTGGGTGCACATTTTAGATGCATGTGGTAGATAGGCATTGTACATTCAGAGCTAAGATTTTACTCATAAAATACGTGTAGACAATCAGTTAATTGAAGAATTGGACCCTGGAGAACACTGTTTCTAGGGTTATGGCTGTGTTTCAAAGCACTTTCATCTTTTTGGATCCTAATAAGGAAACTAAGCATTAGAACCGGGTTCAGGATCTACATCATCTAACTCATTTGTTTGAAAATATCCTGAGACTAAACAAGTAGCATTTAAAACACTGGAATACAGATTAAGTTATTGTACTTTAGTGCAATGTTTATTATTTTTAGTTAAATTGTAATGTGAAGCCTTTTACGAAGTGAATAGATGCATAAGTGGTGGACACTTCATAGTAGTTATCCATTAAATCTCATAATTTCTAACTTTTTTCACCATACCCAGTAGAAGTGTATATATTTGGTCACCTTTTTTCTCTGGTTCCTAACTAACTCAGGTAAATCAAATGCTTAGGGAGCACACAGGCTTATGAAAAGGATAACTAAGAGATCTCCTTTGGCATCTGAAGGGCTGGTGCACACCCAGGTTCATGACTGACCTCAGGGTTCCTGACTGACACCTGGGGAAAGTCTAGGACTACATGCAGGTACATTACCAATGGCCCAGCAGTGGCAGTCCCCTAGATGTGGACTGCTGGTGCTATTCTTGTATTATTTCTGAAGTGGTGTTTTAGAAAATAGAAGTTTCTTTTGTGTGTTTTATGGAAGAATCCACTCTCTCTAAATACTGTTTTGACCCAAGGCGGGACCTTGAAAGGGCCAAAACATGAATAGTAGTACTTCTGTTCACTGAAGAGTTGTTACATGAAAATGAAATGGTTGTTTTGTAAATTGTTGTACTGTATTTTGTGTTGCCATAAATAAAGATGGTAATTTAAACAATGAAACTCAGATGAGAATTACTTCCATTTACCCAAAACCCACCAGGGTTTCCAAATTCTTTCATAATCTATTCTATTCTGTTTTATTGGTCTCGGTTTGAGGCCAAGGAGGATAACAGAAAGAGTCAGTCACGGAAGGCAGGAGGCAGTGAGCTATGGGTATAATTTGCTGCACAGTGACAATATTTAAATCATGGGAACTTTTAAAACTGGTCCAGATGGTACCCCACACTTTGTAAATCAAATTCTTTAGGGTTAGTATCATGGGTTAAAAGGTGTTCTTCTTTCACACAATTCTCTGAAAAAGTACGTGTTCTGAATTATTATCCTCCAGTATGTACTTAGAATTTGACTATATGATTGGAGATAGGGTCTTTAAAGAGATCATTAAATAAAAATAACATCATGGGGTAAGCCCTACTCCAGTATGAACTAATGTCTGTATAACAAGAGGAGGCTAGACCATAGATTTGAATACAAAAAAAAGACCACTTGAAAACAGGGGAAAATAACCATCTACAATCCAAGAAGAAAGGCTTCGGAAAAAACTAACTTCTTTGACACCTTGAATTTGGATTTGTAGCTCCCAGATTTGTGAGAAAATAAATAAATTTCTATCGTTTAAGTCATTGAGTCCATGGCACTTTGGGATGGCAGCCCTAGGGAGCTAGTACAGTCAGGTAGTGCTATTTGGAGGAACAGTCATTTGGTAGACCCTTTGCTCATTTTCTGAATCAGAAAATTAATCCTAGCAAGACCAAATGTTCACAAGAAGAGTCATATTGCCCCTTTTTGCTTTATTCCTTCTTTGCTTTACTTTTTTTTTTAAAGTCCTATTTCTTACAAAAGGACAGCAAAGCCAAGAGAACTTATACTCTGAAACATACTGTATCCTGTTAGATGAAAGCCCAGAAGTCTGGAAATCTAGAACCTGCTCTTGTTTAGAATAGCACCAGTAAAGTTACTTCTTTCCTTAGTTTTTCTAATTGTAAGAGAGTGGCAGTCACTCCTAGGAACTATACAACCCCCAGACATGGTGACAGTTCAAAACTTCATTCAACAAATACTTGTTGAGTATCTTGTAAATTCTAGACATTGTTCTTATGAGTCTGGATTTAGTGATCACCGAACACGACAAAAGAAGCAAGTGCTTTTCACTGACACTTTTCCTTACTTTAATATTTGCTCTTTTGGGGGCTGGGGAGATGGCTCACTGGATAAGTGCTTCCCCGGCAAGCACAAGGGCCTGAGTTCAATCCCCGGTTCCGAAAAAAAAAAAAAAAATTGCTCTTTTGCTATGTTTGTGAAATGAGTTCTTGATTATAAAATACCAAATTACATTTTCTTTTCTTTTTTTTTTCCAGTACTGGGGATTGAACTCAGAACCTTGCACTTGCCAGACAGCCACCCAAATTATATTTTCATTACTCTTTCAGGTTCTCACACTAGTGAGATAATACAAAGTTTGTACATATGGATCTGATTTAGTTCACTTACCAATATAGTCTTTAGCTGCATCCATTTATATACAAAGCCTCAAATTTATATTTTTTCATAGCTCAATAATAACCCATTGTGTAAAAATATCATATATTTTTTACGCATTCCTCAGTTGATGGGCATTGTTCAATGGGAAGGAAAAACTGAGATGGGGAAAAGGACAAATGAAAGAAGGGAAAAGATAGATAGATGATAGATAGATAGATAGATAGACAGACAGACAGACAGACAGACAGACAGACAGACAGATAGATAGATAGACAGAATAGTTTGGATAATTGTATTGTCGATTTCTGCTGGTCTTTTGAAATGAGCAGTTAATGCTTAAATTTTCTTTTCACTTTGAATGTTTTCCTCTTTTGAATTTCTCTCTCTCTCTCTCTCTCTCTCTCTCTGTCTCTCTCTCTCTCTTTTATGTACGGGGTGTTCAGGGTCTTACCACCAGATTGGACTCATAGTGATCCACCTGTTTACAGCCTCCCAAGAGCTGGGATTACAGGTGTGTACCACCATGTCCAGTCTCAATTGCTGTCTCAGCGTGCCCCCAGGGCAGGACTGGCACGGCAGGCCAGGGGATCAAGCCCCCAGCCCTTGTACCTGCTTCCAGATGCTTTAATTCACTGAGCTATTTGGCCAGCCCTTGAATTTCTTATAATTTCTTTGTTATGGTTTTGTTTCTTTAAACAAATCTTACACATTTATATCTGGTAATCTGACCAACTAATTTGAAAATAATATGATGTAATACAGCAATCATTGTTGAATTCCTATTACTTTGTTTAGTGAAATCTTGTATTGTTTCTAATTTTTTTCTATCACTATTTTGTATTCTTTTAAAAAATAATAAACAAACAAACAGGGCCACCCAGATAGCTCAGTGGACTAAAGCACCAGCTTGGGCAGAGCACAGGGACTGGGGTTCAGTCACAAACCATGCTGGCCCTGCCCCTGGGGTGCACTGAGACTCTGGCTGAGACTAATCCCAGTGCTTGGGAGGCTGAAAACAGGAGGGTCACAATGGGTCCAATCTACATAGTGGGACCCTGTAGACCCTGTTTTA